AAGTACTCTAAACTGTATAAATAATGTAAAATTAAATTGAATTTATTAGCCAATCAGACGAACTTCTGTCTATAAGTTATTATGTAAAATCGGATGTTTTTATCCGGGTTTAGATTTTTGGATTTGCACTTTCAATCGTCGTTATATCCGACCGAAATGTTTAAAATGCTAAATACCGAATATCAGTTTGTAAATGCAATCTAAATGTCGGATAATAGGAACTTACAGTGCCGTAATATAGATTTCGATGTTGCATTTTTTTTTGACTTTATGATTATATTTAATTTATTGTTATATAATTATATACTTGTTTAATTATTTATGTCGACATCGTTATCGATTGATTAAAAGGAAATGAGAACTTATCATTATGCGTGTGCGTACAGAAATCTTAGTAACACTAATAAATTTATTTAATCATTGGTAAATATTGTTTAAATTTTATCTTATCTAAATGTCCGAATTCTACTTATCTAGTTATCTATAACTGTGTTAATTACTTTTTTTGGATTCGGTTAATCTCGGAACAATGGCCTTATTTATTTTACAAGAGATAAGAACTAGCCGCGCGCTAATTTCAAGTGACAACTGTGGTATTATTATTTTGCAAACAAACAAGAAATAATTTTATGCATTTAAAAAATTACATAATAAAAATAGCATAAACTTATCTGATTTTTTACTTGCATAAAATGAATTTCTTCAGAGACATCTACCTGTTGATTTGTTTTATGCGAGTTTTATTGTATTTATGTTGTGTATCACTAGATAAGATTTATATTTGGTCGAAAGGAGAAAAAAGCTTAACATATACCAGCATTTTCAACTTTGTTTTTTTTCACATTCCTTTTAAAGATTGTCGTTTTTAATAATTCTATTGTCGATACCACACGAATGGGCGCGCAAAATTCAAGGGACGGAGGAGTTTTACCTGTTATTAATGAGTCACTGAGCAGTGAAGCCCATGAACAATTTCGATATTTACTAGGTCGCAGGTTTCATAATGTAACTGACATTATTTACGATCTGCCAAATGACGAGATCGAAGGTACATACGAATTTCAATAAACGTTACGATTTAATTATTTGCTAAAAAAAAATTATTTTTATTATTCTCACGTAAAAGTTGATCGGTTGCATTTGGAGCATTTCTTGACACGGGACATATGGTAATAACTCATGGTATTAATTAATTTAGAAATCATGCAATGATAAACCTTTCTAATCATTTAAATAACAGGGAATCAAATTTCTCATCTCCAATAGCTTCTCAATTAGAAGCAGGGTGTAGTGTCCTGGATGTTGGGTAATTATAATTTCTCGCATTGAGTGTCTTATATTCAAATTAAAAGGCTAAATTATTTAAATATTATCGAAAATAAAATAAAGATGTGGACCAGGCACGTGGACAATAGAGATGGCGGTACCACATTTTTAACCATTATTAAACAACCTTTCAGGTTATCTTTCCAAGGTTAAATTAATATTCTTTATTTTCAGATTAATTATGAAAAATCAGCTTTCATTGGTATAGATATTTCACCAATATTCCCAACGGAAATCAAACCTAGAAATGTCATTTTTGAAGAAGGGAATATCCTCAATGGAATCTCTCATCCTGATGAATCATTTGATTTTGCACATATGGTATTATTTGTTTTTTTTCAATTTTTGTTTCAAATTATAAAATTCTAATTTTTAAAAATCTCAATATTTGCAGCGATATATGTTCCCATCTTTTACACAGCATCAATGGGAAGAAGTAGTCATAAATGTGTGTTCTTTGAATCTGAAATGCTTCTCTTTAAATTGTAACTGATATTCATAATTTCCTCTACTTATAATTAGGAAGTTGTACGTGTTATCAAAATTGGAGGTTGGTTAGAATTATGTGAATATGAATTATGTCAAAACTGTGGTCCGGTATTGGGAAGGTTACTGTCTGCCCGTAAGTTCCATTTAATTGTTTCCAATACTATTCATATACATTAATAAACAATCGATTCAATTAAAATAGGAAGAGAAATGCTTATCAAGGAGGGAAGAAATCCGGATGTTGCACAGATTCTTGGAGAATTAATGAAAAATACACAATATTTTGATGATGTTAGTATGTCATAACCTTTGAGCGTAATGGCCAATTTGGCAATATGTCAATTTCGAAATCAACAGTTGCAATATTGTCTCTAAACCTTTATTAATTTAGATTCACCAAAAAAAAAAAGATGTTCCAATTGGCTCATGGGCTGGCAAGATAGGAGAAGTGGTAAATGTTTTTCTTTATTAAAGGATTTATTTCTTTATATTTATACATATTTGCTTTGAAAATTTTTTTCAGGGAAGAGACAATATAGTTACTCGGATGGTCGGAATAAAACCTGCCCTATATTCATTTATGAATATTACTTCTGAAGAATATGACGAAATGATACAAAAAAGTATCGAGGAGTTTAACGAGTATAAAACATTTTTCGTTACCTTTAGATGGTATGCTAAAAAAAAGGTCAAAGACACAACATAATTTATTCTGATAATTATTAATTCAAGATGAACACTTTTATTAAAAAATTATTTTTGTATAAATACCATTTGGGTTTTGCTTAAGAAAGAATTTCAATAGAACAGATGATAAATAAGTTACGCTCACTTGATTTTTTATTTTATTGTTTTTGATTTGTTGCCTTCCCCTTTTTTATTTTGCATTTTTTATTGCTACTATAAAATAAAATTTATCAATTGTCAAAAATTAAAAACAATATGTTTATAAGATTGCTCAAGTTAGTATTGATTATTTCTTCCCATTTTGGCTTTGTTCTTTCGGGTTCTTTTGCAATCTCTACAATCCCTACTTCTATTTCTAATTAATTAGATTTTATTTGATTACTATGCAAGATATCAAGACTATCACAGAATCATGTCTAACAACAAAATAATTTTTAATATAAAATACTTAAATTTTAACTTTGTATTATAAATCTTTATACAAAAATTTTAAATGATAAATTTTTATTATAATGCGTAAATATTTTTGGTTTGCTTTTAGTTGTTTTTTAAAGCAAAATACCAAAAATGTTTTTTAATTTTATTAAAGGTTAATTGGAATATGGAATTCGACCAATTGGACAAGGGCAATTCAGGTTGACCAATCAAATTTTTGTATTACTTATGTAATTCAAATTGACCAATCAAATTGTTGCATTACTTATATACTTATTACTAGTTTTGATACAAACCTCTAAAATGGAGACAATTTTTTCTTTTTTACCATCCCTATATCTAGGAACGTCCCTAGCATCGCCCATAGAAAAATACCGCTGACGTCACATTTCATATAGTATTATACGCGCTACTTATTTCTTAATATACGAATCGCTTAGTAACCAATTTAAAAACTAGACAAATTTATGAAATTCCCCCAAAATTTGAAAATTTGTCTATTAATAAAACAATAATGATTTTTGGCTGAAATAACCACTTCCCCGAATGAGGGTACATCATTATAATAAATTTCTATGACTAATGAGATACGTCAAAGGTGAGGAAGATGGGTTAGACACGTTATCAATCAAGATCAGGGGTCCAAAAAACTTTTTCGGGTCGGGTTAACGTTGATTTATTAATATGTAATTCGGTAACCAAAATTTCAATTTGGGACCAAATACTCAGATTTGGTGACCAAATTTTAGCTTAAATTTCATAAATTCGCCGTGATGGATCCTCTTAATTTAATATTATTTATAATTAGAGATGTACCTCACGCGAAGTGATAAAATTATCGCACCCGCGATCTCGCGAGATAAACTATTTGATTAAGAAATTTTCAATAAAATTTTTAGCATGCATTCCAAAATGAATTTTTATCACATGAGACTCGCGAACTCGCGCGACTTTGTCGCGCGTGCGATATGTGAAATGAATGCTAGGTTTATTATTTTTACAAGAGATATCAACGGCAATGTGTGCTAGGTTTGTGGCGCAGATTTCCTGAACTACGAATCAGATTTCAAGATCAGATGTAACGTCAAACAAACGTCCATTTTGTCAAAAATCGGTTACTTCTCAAAGAATCATCTTTAATGCTCTAATAAAAAGTTTTGTCAAGCAATTTTACTATATAAACTACTCTCTAATCCCAACCATGACCTTAACCCTAACGTAAACGAACTTTTTATCCCTCATCGAGGAGATGTTTGCAAAGCATGAAAAAAGTCCGTGCCAGGTTTTGTCGATCATTGTGCGTAACAGTAGGGCTAGTATTAGAATAAACTTAAAGACCGGATGTTTGTATAGTAAAATCGCTCAAGGAAGCCTTTTTGTTAGAGTGTTAAAAGTGGTTCTGTATGTGTTTTTTTATTTTTGACAAAACAAACGTTTGTTTTGAACTTTACTGATTCTTTGAAAATATGATTTGTAGATTGGAGATCTGCGCCACAATGATCGACAAAACCTGGCACAGCAAATCATGGGCAGAAGTTCGTCTGATTGGCTAATAAATTCAATTTAATTTTACATTGTTTATACAGTTTAGAGTACTTTTTAAAAAAACGAAAACCAACCACAATAATGTAAAAAAAAACCATATAGAAGGTTTTATTAGAGCTGTAGGACTTTATAGTCAAAAATAAAATCTAATTTTCGTCTGTTTAAAAAAATTGGTTTAGTAATAAGTTGATTTTATCATGTTTTGAAAAGTAATTACTATACTAACTTTTTTAAACGGACGAGAATTAGATCTTATTTTTGGCTATTAAGTCCTACAGTTCTAATGAAACCTTCTATACAGCTTTTTTTATTTTACTATATTTAGTTTTCGTTTTTTAAAAAGTACTTTAAACTGTATAAATAATATAAAATTAATTGAATTTATTAACTAATCAGATAAACTTTTGCTTATGAGTTTGCAAGACAATGAACACAATAAAATACAATTTCGGGTATTCTGTTTGCTGCTTCATGCAAATACCAAATCATAATACAGATTTTAAGAACATTACTGAGCATAATGTGTATAAATACAGTCAAATTGCTTTATAATCACCTATTTTATAGTTGTATTTGTTTATAATTATATAAATTTTTAAAACCAACTCATAGAACACCTATAAAATTTAATTTCTATAAAAGTACAACCTCTTTATAAACATTAAATTCTTAAAACTAAGAGTGTAATTGTATGCAATTTTTTGTAATTGTTTTTATAAACAAAATTACAATATAATTTTTATCTTAAAAACAATATAGTAATAAAAATATAATTAATATATATGTTTTAAATAGTTAAAAAACTATTAAACATTGTCTTTAAACTAATTATTAACTGATATTTTATTTTTAAATCTCTATTTTAAATTAAAATTTTGTTAAATAATCTTAATAAACAAAAAAATAATAAAAATATTTTTATTCGTATAGTTTTTAATTTTAAAAATTTGATCTAAGTTTATAATTATAATTATTTATTATTGTTAATAAAGTAAAAGTTCTGTTTTATTTTATTTTATTTTTTTTGCTTATAATTTTCTGTTTTTTTTTTTAATGTTAAGGTGAATACATGTAACTTAGAAGTTTATTAATAGTATTTGGCTTGTAGCTGTTGTGTACAACAACTACAAAAGTAATCATAAAAAGAGTGTACAACTAGTTATTCATACAACTTTAATTATTGTCTAATTTAAGTAATTTGTCTAAAGATCTTATACTAGTTGTTATACTTAGAACCTGCCTATGAGTTTTCTATTTAAACATTCTAGTTTCTGTATTTATCTTTATTCTACTAATTGCACCTTAGTGCAAATATGTTATAGTTACTAAGTTATGTTTAATTTTGTACTAAATCTATTAAAGCTTTCTATATTTTATACTTATAGCTAACCTGGTATTACTTTGGCTTAGACTAGCATTTGCAATTAGAACTAACTATTAAATTACTTTATTTTTATAAAGTTTACTCAAATCCTAATACTTATCTTTTTGATATTTTTTTATTATTCACTATTAATTATTATTTAGATCAACAAAACTCTTTAAACTATCAATTTAAATAGTTTGATATGATATATTTATGTATTTTTTTTCTTCTAGTAATTTTAGCAACCTGATTAATTATATACTTCTTTACATATTTTACTATTTGATTATTTACCTATTTCTTTGAAGATGTTTTATAAATTTTTATTAGTTCAACAGTATTGTCAAAAGTTTGTACTATCTCTTTTTTTAAGATATTCAAGTGGGTTTCTGACTTTTTAGTTTTTTAGTATTTTATTTTTAGTGGTCTTATTATAAATTTGTACTGAAGTTTTATATAATATTAGTTTTTTACATTTTTTTATATATATATAATATTATACTTTATATAAATGTTCTGAGCTTTTAATGTTAAGTAGAATTTAACTTAGTATATATAAGATTACAAATACTTAATTTAACTGATTAACAAGAAACAGTTATTATAATATAAATATAATTTTTAAAATTTGTCATTTATAAAATTTGAAACTTAAACCTAATATTTAATAGTAAATAACTTATTTTTTTTACTTAGTTATCACATTAATACTTACTTTTATATATATATATATATATATATATATTTTTTTTTTTTTTTTTTTTTTTTTTTTTTAATATTAAAAGATAAAAAAATAATATACTCTTTTTAACAATTATTAAAAAATAAACAAAATAGAAATAATTTTAAAAATATAGTAAATAGAACTTAAATAAACTGAGTAATATACAAAAAAACAATTACAAATGCAAAAGACAAACTCTTATAACAATATCAACTACTATACTAATTAACAAAACAAGTATTAAAGCTAACAAGATCAAAAACCAGTCCTCTGTAAACTTGGTAAAAGTCAACTTGTTCCAAGAACAAAAAACAAAATATATATTTGTATATGCACCAAGAAGCAATAAATAAAACATGAATATTCAGAAGACAAAGCAAAACAATAATAATACAAAAACAACATATATTTAATCAAAAAAAGATATTTCAACTCTTTATACTCTTTTGAACATCATGCAAAAGGTTTAAAAAATAGACAAAACAGCTTATTCTTAACAAAATACACAATAATATCATATGTTATATATAACAAAACAACAAAATTCATAATTAGAAACAATAACAACAATACAGATAACATAACAATAGATAACAGAAATCTAAATTTAGAAAATATAGAAGAATAGATACATGTAAATAGTATTAATACTAGACCTACATTTGAAGATTATAATACAAATAAGAACAACAATACAAACCAATACAAGTTTTACAGTCATATACTAAAACAAAATATAAAAAATCTAATAAATACTGAAGATAATACAATTGCAATACAAACACAAAGTTGGACTAAGAATATAACACAACAGCTAGATCTGCAGATTATTAAAAAATTTGATACAACAATCTGGTCTTTGGACAAAATAATTACAACATTAAATAGTATTACAAAAATAAAAAACTTTATAGAGTACAATTAAAAATACAACCAACAAAATACCAAATCCTAGCAGCAATATATCTCAAATTTAAACATCTAGCTTCAGTTTTTTTTATATCTTTTACAACAAACAGATAAACTATGCCTGCTTATTAGGTTAAATTTACAAATCTATTTAAAGAAACTATTAAGAAGTACAAAGAAAAAAATAGAATTACATTAACAAACAGACAAATTTAAGATACTATCTAACAAATACTAAGGCAAAAACTTATAATAGAATACTTAATAAATCTTAATTTTAAATATAACAAACTAAATAATGTTTACAAAATAGTTAAATACTGTTACAACTTTATTTGAGCATAGCTAATTAAAGATATAAAAAAATTACAAAATGAAATTAATTAGATATATAGTATATTATAATATTCTTTACCAGTAAACTATCAGAAATTGATATTGAAACTATAGTAATTATATCTTTTGAACTACTAATTACTAAAAAATTATAAACTCAAGCTATAGCAAGCTCATTACATACTCTGTTCTATTTTACAATTTTATTAGAATCATATTTTATCTTATTGTCTAAACTGCTTAACAATTCACAAAAACTTAAAGAAGAACTAAAATCTTTTTTTCTAATAACAGATCCTAAACAACTTCGACAGCTAAGATACTATTATGCAAAGCTAATTGATTATTACAAGTTTAATAAAATTCTAGCAGCATACTTCAATTTGTTACTAAGCAAAAAGCTATTACCAACTATATATTATGAACTAAATAGCAAAGTCAGACATTTATTTCTACTAAACACATCAAAAGAAAATACAAATATTCAGAAAATAATAAATTTATTAAGAGAACACTATAGATTTAAACTGCTACCAAATAACTTTTTCATACAAAACCTATTGTTATCAAAAGATACACAAAACATAAAACTCAAAACTCAATTTAGCTATCCTATAACTAATAATAACATAGCAAGAGAATTTCTAAACTAGGCAAAAATAAAATACAAAATACAGTTTTTTATAAATAAAAAAGTAATAACTACTAATTTAACAAATAAACTAAAACTTTCAAATAATAGTACAAAAATTACAGAGTATAACATTACTATACTAATTACATCTCTTAGAATACTAGTAGATATAGCTAAACTATTTTGTAAATACTATTATTTTGATTAAATACTAGCATACTAGATTAAAATATTAAATAAATAGCAAAAAACAAATGCTTAATCTAATATAACAAATAAACTAACGATTCTATTAATATTGGTTCAATTACAAAAATGCTTGAAAATAAAACAAATAACATATATATTAGCTTACCAATTATACAACAAACAAACATCACATTTACATTAATGATGCTTAGACAGCATTTCAAAATTTTAAAAATTTTAAACTATATTTTACAACTACCACTACTTTCAGAACTGATATAAGACATTCTATCTAAATAATAATAACTAAGATATACCAAAATAGATACAACAATACTATAAAAAAAAATACTAAATAAGCATTATAAAACAGCATTAACTTAAATAACTAAAGTAATTCTATATAATATACAAGATACTAACAGTAAAATTGAACAGCAAGCTCAAGAAAAAAAGAATTTACAAACTAAAAAAAAAGCTAAAAAGACATTACTAGAGCTTGTTATAAATGAGAAAAGATCTTTTTTTCTTTTTAAACTTTAAGTACTTAGATGAGCAACCTATCTTAATATGTTTGAAGTAGTATAACAAGTTATATTTAGGTACTATTTGAATGGTCAGATGATACTAAACTTAGTTATTAGAGATATTTATGTAATTGCTAATGTAATTTCAAGAATTTTAATAAAGTACTAGCATGTCTGCTTAAGTTTAAAAAAAAATGTTAAAATAAATAGTTGCAACTTAGAATTTTATTAATAGTATATTTCAGCTTTGTGATTATATTATAACAGCTACAAAAAGTAACTATGAAAAAAATATACAACTAGTTGCTTAAATAATTTTAGTTATTGTCTAATTTAAAAAGGTTTTATACTAGCTGTTATACCTAGAAGCTACTTGTAAATTCTTTATTTAGACACTCTAATTCTTATATTTATTTATCTATAACTATTTTGGTTTTTACTAATACAAATATGACATAATTACTAAATCTTTAAAGCAGTTTATTTATATAGTAAATTATTGATTTTATACTAAACTTACTAAACTTTCTGTTATTTTAATTTTTAGCTAATCTGATATTTTGCTATAGTTAAGAACAATATTTGCAAACAGAACTAATTATTAAATTGCTATATTTTTGTAGAGTTTATACAATCTTAGTACTCTTTTTTATAACCTTACTAATATCTTATATATTCTTACAGATTTAAATTAACTGATTAGTCAAATTTATGAATACCTTTTACTTAGAAGTACTTGCTTATACAGATTATTTGCTTTAGATTTCTTTTTTAGATTAAGTTTTTTTACAAATGATATTATTAAGGATAATACTGTTATAAGTAAAAGTCTTTTTAATTTTCATATTATAATAATAACATAATACAGAGAATTTCTTATAAGTATATGCATTATTCAAAAAGAAAATATAGCTTCTATTAGACATTGTCAAAAAACTATACTCTTTTTTAAGACAGTTCAAAAAAGATATTG